GAGGTTACTTGGGTCATATTTTTTCAAGATTCAGACCCATATAAAATGCGATTTAGTATGATAACTTATTGATAAAGTGGTTATCTGTTTTTATCAAAACCAAATGCAAACTAAGACGAATTTGAGAAGTGACAGACAAACAGACGTGATTACTAAAAATGCACAACAATGATTTTTCTGAAGTTCAACTCCAAATAATTACGTCAAAAAAGAAAACCTCACAAAGTTTTCACGCGATTACAACGAGAACCATGAGTACTGTGTGTGTAGGCATAACAATAATCTACTCAATGTTGGCTGGGAGTCAGCCAGCAGATTTCAGGCGAGTGGCAAAGCGGATTATCGAAATTAACCTCTTCAACGGCCCTAATGATCGACTCATCCACTCGAATACCAGGGGTTCCTCTCAACCGATACAATCGATAATAATACCCACTTACTAAAAGTAAAATATTATTTAATTTTTGAGGTATTCTTGATATCTTTACTATAAACAATAATAAATTACATAATATTGTCGTCACCAAGAATTGAGGTTTTATATCTATATATATAAAAGAAAGTCGTGTTAGTTACACTATTTATAACTCAAGATCGGCTTCACCGATTTGGATGAAAATTGGTGGGGAGGTAGGTTAGAACCAGGAGACGGACATAGAATACTTTTTACCCAATTCTTTTTATTTTTTACTTTTTACCGAAAATCAAGAACGGAAACGGGAAATATCGGGATTGCGCGTACGAAGTCGCGGGCAGAAGCTAGTATCTAATAATAACAATTTACCACTGAATAAGGTATCGAAGATAACAATCAATTTTCACTAAACATTATTCGAGTAAGCAAATCTCTCCATTGTGAACTATTCATAATAGGTTAAGGGATAAAGGCTCTATATTAGGTTGTTGCAGTCGGGGGCTAATCTCGTACGGGCGCAGGACTACAATAGGCTTTATTAACATGCATGCATCCCGTTCGATACAAATTGGCGATGAGTCGAGTCGCCGGCGTCGTGCGGTGAACGGTGAACCTAATCCACCGTGTAATAATGTCCTACCTCGACGATTACAATCTACGTCATTTTCAATTATTTATTTTTACATAAAAATTTTACTCAGACTACATATTGCCTTAAAGTTCGTTAACCCAATGTGCCTAAACGAAAAATCCTTAATGGACAAAGCTTTGTCATTCATATTACAATGTAATAATCAGTTGTGAACATTATTTTGCTTCAAAAATGCTTTTTCATATTCGGTACCGTGGAGTTATTATAATGATTGTAAGTTTTTCAATGACCTACTTTCAAAGGGTTATTTAATATCATACGTTATTAAATTTATTTTAACATGCGAAACTGGCGGTTTGCTCTCTTAATTTGATTAAAGTGGGATGGTAATCATCGACCTGCTACTTATATTTGTATAGGGCTGAAAAGTAGAATTGGACACGGGTAAGCTAATATTAGCTGTGATGTGTGATGTACCGGGTTGAAACTTCTATGATTGATAATTCGTACTATGTAATTCGACTTCAATTACTTATCCTTTTTAAAACCCTCAATGAAAGTATACCCAGTTCCCCATCACTGTCCTCTCAAATTCCTCAGGTAGTAAAGCATTTCTTGTAACAACGATTAATTACAGTGTCCAGGTCACGCTAAGGTTTAATTTTATGGGTCCAAGTCATTGAATCACTCCCTTAGGATCTGGATCATTAAGTGGGTAAATGGTTAATGAAAATAGAATGAGCACTAAACATCGAAGCGGAATTTCGCCAGTCACCTAGCCGTCGTTAAATGTTGTTATCGTCGCGATTAAGTAACAAAACAACTCTGGTAGAGGGCGTTGCGGGGCGAAGCGCGGGGCGCGGGCTACGTCGCGAATAATAATCTCAGTTTACGACGGCAGCCGAGTGAATCAATAAAAACACTAATAATGCACAGACGTAATCCGGATCGTGCAACGTCGCGATTACCGGCACTAACGAGATCGTAAAGACGGATCTCCAATGCACGGCTTAGCCGAAACATAAGCGCCGCGGGTAGGCTACGCACTTGATATATGAGCGCGTCGTATACTTGACGAAGCAATTAATACAAACGAACGAAAACGTTCAGTTTTATCTTTGCCTTTTAATCGAAGTCGTCGTTGATCTAATGGCACCGGTTTGCAAAAGGAACAATCGTATGTAACAGATTTTTTGTTGAAAGAATTGTAAACCGGCACAGTGGATCCATTATTCTCAATTTGCGCCAAGTTGAAGCAAGCGCGGACGGCACGCCGGCAGACGCGGCGGGTGTCCCCCTTGATTAAACCCGGGAAGTAAGAAGTAACAATTTGTGTGCATTCCTACATCCTCCACCGGTTTATACTCTAGCTCCTGAATTGCACTCCAGCTTACTAGATTCCATTTTACCTTAGAATTTCATAACTTATATTACTTTGTTTTTGAAAGAGACTTCTTGAAGATGTTAACTAAACGAAAGTTTAGCTCAATTTTATTACAGTTATGATTGCTTGAGGTTTTGTTGAGATTGTTCGCAAGTGAAGTAATCTATTTGTAATTTTGCTGTAGATTAGATTCTCGTTTGTGAAGTTGTCTTGCTTTACAGTCGCTGAGCAACAATAATTACGATTTTAATGACTGCGTCTTTGTCTGTCCCATAATAAATATACAAAAGAATATGGAAGCGTTATTCGTGTGTGTTTGGGTAGGTTAATACGTCATGTATAGACGTGGACCCCTCGGCTGCAGAGCTGACGAGGGCGACGCGACCGCCTGCAGTCCAGCTACTGTTGATGACACGAGCCTACGTAAACGTATCGATACCTGTCGGTCACGAAGCCTGCTCGGCGCTCGTTTACCGTTTAAAATGAAGCCTGTATTTTTGATACACCTTTTTCATACATATTAAAATTTTGACCTTACGTACCACCGATTTTTACTTCGCAAAAACGTTTTTACTCAGAACTTCATTCAGGATTTTATTTTTATACAAAAAGCACATAGCGTCATTTATAGTGTCATACTGTATGTTTGATCAATGTTTCGATAATTTAACACTGATTCAAACCGTCGTCTGTCGCGCGTGCCTCACGCCCATCTTTGGCGATCTTCGCGTAGCGCCGGAATTAAAATTAATAGCGGACCGACGAAGGCACGTCGTGGTAGGTCCGACCCGGCCCCAGTAATTTGTTTACTCGTCTCGCTCAGGATTACGTCGTATGCTCCGCTGAATAGGTAACTCCTGGTGACTTTTCATAAGTATCAGTCAACTTCCACTTGGCTTTGTTAATGAATTTTTATCGTTTTAATAATATTTTTACGTGCATTAATTTCTGCGGGCTTTTTACGGTGCTTTTATTCAAGTTGAGAGTTTTTATAATGGTCTTATATTTCATGCAGTGTACTTAACCTTTAAAGCTCTCAAATGGCTGACAGTTTACAAAAACACTGACGGGCACAACTGATGTGGCGAAAACACCGTCAATTAATTGACTTTGTACTAAGAGCCAAAGTGTTTCAGAGCCTGTCATTATACGCAGCAGGAATTTAACTACAAAGCTACTGAATTTCGGACGAATATCCGCACACGAAATTTCATTAACAATATGGTAAAGTTTGGAGCGTATACGTGGCACGTATATAATTCAAAGCCGGAGTTAATTGACCGAATACGGTTATGAATGATACGGCTAAACGTCGCCGGAGCAGGGTCGAGTGTCGGCCGGTTGCCGGCGGACTTCCGATCGCACCCCGGCGTGTTTATTGTATCAGTGTCGAGGCTCATCAAAATGCAAATAAGGCACGCCCAGGCCGCGGCGCCGGACAGTTGTCGGCACTGTATTGAGTTATAATCCTCTACATTCCAGTTTCCTATGTACCCCTGTTTCGACCGCATTGTGTCTGCCACCGTTAGATGTCTACATGAGCTTCCAATTATTTTGAGGAATGTGTTTGCATTTATTTTGATTGAAATATATTGTCTAGTATGTTAAACTTCTGATTAAGATGCAGTTTGAGTCGCAGAAGTAATTGAAATTTTGAATTGAAAGAAGAAAACAACAACTGTTTCTGAGTCAAACTGAATCTCCTTTTTAAACAACTACATGGAAAAATTTGGACTGGACACAACTTCTTGAAAAACCACACAAGACATCATATTTTTGTTTCAAATCATTAATTTCAAACATGTCTCCACTAATGATGTCTGGGGCACAGCATTTATCGCGCTCATATTCTGAGATGTGTATCAGTACACGTCTGAATATGGGATTCAGTATTCTAAGACCTAATCATAATAAGACGGTGGAGTGCACCTCAGACACACACGGGAAGGAGCTTATAAACTACATGCAGCGTCTTCGTCTGAAAGGCACAGGAATGAATCGTTCGAGGGAGTTGTATGCAGTCGTTTAATAAGCTCCTGGCTGGCTGCTCGGATTTCGGTCGTTAGCGCGTAATTGTCGACACCTAATTAGTCCCGACACTCGAGCATGAGTCTCCGGTGTCGAGCTCACACATGACCCGCGATATTTAACGCGGCACGGCTTCACCATCTCGACCGTCACTGAATGTACTCCGCTGCGGTTCAGATACTTTATTAACTGCCCTTTTGTGTATGATACGTTCATTTTGGTTTATGGTACTACATTGTACAAAAGTGATTCGTTTTTGTCAACCGGTTTATGTTGTCGCAATTTTCGGGAGGATCAAATACTTTGTCTTTTATGATTCCCGGAAAAGAACTTCATTGAAATTAGTGAGAAAATAGCTATTTGACATCTCATGAATAACATATGTTATTTTATTTAAGCTGTTATGTTATAACAGCTTACATAAAATAGTTATAGTTAGTCATTTTATTTGATGCAAATAGAAACGAATAACAGTTATTCATAAACTGTTTTATTAGTACCAATGTAATTATAACGTATCTTCTGTCTTGCCTTATATAGCGTGTTGGAATATAATTTGTAACTATATGTCTTGTTTGCAGGCATGGAAGCGATAATGTCCGAGTTCTTCAACGACACGACGACTGCGTTCTACATCATCTTAATTGTGTGGATTGCGGACCAGTACGACGCGATATGCTGTCATACTGCCATCGCTAAAAGACATTGGCTCAGGTAAGTGCTTGTGCTTTGAAAATTTTGTAAAGTTATGTTTTTCTGCCCAGTTATTCTGCGCAGTACGGTACAGGTGTCGTCTTAAGTTCTTTGGAAATGTGGTAAATAGTTTTGTTATGCAGTCCTTCTGTACTGTAGACATGGTAATGCTTTAACTCGTCGAGTACCGTCATTATAGACACAATTATAGAACAATAGGTTGCGGTCACCGGTGACCGCTTGGTGTTTGACAGTTTAAGGCAACTCAGCCGTTGTCGATTCAAGCTTTGATCAGTTACAATTCCTAAGGACAAAAAACCATTTCTTTTAATCGGATAACACGATTATTAAATCAATCCACTTATTACCGCGTATGCACAATGTTACCATTTCGCATTACTGTGGAAATAAACACATGTTTTATTTAGTTAATCTCCATTAAAATAATTCTACGTTAAATATTAGAATATTAAACTCGAACAAAGTTTTCTCGCGCAAATACTCAACAAACCGCTAATGATGAAAATACTCGTTTGCTTTTCGGTACAAACTATGCACGAAACATACATAAATACGATATTTTCCTTTCATATACATAAAAAAGGGAGGTAGACACAGTAATTGTTTGTTTATATATCGTACGTGTTTGTACTGGGCTCATTATTTTGTGGCATTTGTACATTTCTGTAAATATCGACATATTGCTCGCGTTCCAGAGTGTTGCCCTAAGTATTTACTTATTATAAGATTGATGTTTAACGACCGCTTGTTTGATATTTCAATATATTTCCTACTTCAATGGTAAAATTGACTTGTGATGAACGCTCTTCATATTGCAATAACCTTTTTATGATATGTTCGTATTTTTCTTATCTTTATTTAAGTAAATACGTAGTTTACTATAAACATTTCAATGATACAAAAGTCCGATGATATGATTAATTTACTATTCTGGTAGAGACAGCAATGCTTCCGATCTGTTTGTTCGGGCACTTTGTTTTTACGCCTACTTCTGTCGCGCGTGTTTCTCCTTAATCAAAAGGCGTCCGGGCACGAAGCAATTTGGCTGGCCGTCCGCGCGGGCAATAAGGAGTGAGCGCTATTAAAACAAGCGCAAATAAAGCAAATTGAAAACGGCACCGCTTCCCCCCTTGGAGAGGGATAGTCGAGCTGGCCCCGCGTCCTCGGGCTCCCCGCAAAAACAACGTACTGTCGTCTGGAGAAACCTCTTGCTTCATCTAACTGTCACATATATCTCGAGAACTATCGATACGTATACACAGCCGCGCGACACTACGTACACGTCTGTTTTACCCACCACATTCCCAGCTTTTATTTACTCTGTATAATGTCTCATAACCATTGAATGTACGTTTATTTGCACATACAAACTTCGTAAAGAGCCACTCGCAAAGACGGCCACGGGCTATTAAATAACAAATTCATTTTAATATACGCTTCTTTAAAACATAATAAAATATAAAGGACCCGCCTTTCACAAGACAGCAAATAAGATAATTTTTCTGTTACAAGGCAGTTCTTTGTCAATTTAATTTTCCGTGTTCGCTTTACTTTATACGTGGAAGTGCTCTCCTCTATGTAGCTCATCATATTAACCGTGATGTTGTAAAAATATTAAAAAATATTGCAATTTTCCGCCTGCAACTTGTGTCAACAGCAGCGGGAGAGTTTATTTAATAATATAAAGGGAATACCAAAAAATATAAAAGCTTTCATGTGGCTTATATGAACATTGGTATTTCGAAACAAAATTGGCTCAAAGGACCAGTTTTGAATTGACGCGCTCAACGCTCTTAGTTTATTTAAAACAACAAACATTTAAATTCTCATTGTAATTTCATACTACAAAACAAATACGAACAAAGAACCAAAGAACATTTAATTAAAATTAAAAAATCCTTTTCATTTACGTTCGTATTACGTAATAAAGAGAGCACGTAGCTGCGGTCAGTTTTCAAAAGCAGCATATTGAACGGTATATCGAAAAAGAGGAAGCAAGACAAGTTTGACAGGGATGTTAATAACACTGCGTAATTTAATTAACCATCAGCTATTTTAATTAACTACTCGATTCTGACGAGTCTTTACCAACATGCATATTTTGAAAGCATGCATTGTTTCAATATTTTACCACGGAATTCTGTTTCGGTAATAAGAACGCAGATTAATTATTTTATAAGCCTTATATTGGTTATATTTTTTTGAAAATTCTGCAATTATATTTCAACGAATTTCAATTGAGTTGAGGCTAAATGGAATTTGGTATTGCAAATTATAATAAGTTTACATTTGAGCGTTTTGAACTCGAAAGTTTTAAAATTCAACCACAAAAAGCAACCAAAATTAGAGCAAACGTCTAATTGGTGACACGGTTACGGTTTACAAAACGGTGTCGTGTCGGTTCAAATGCAATGTGTTAATAAGTGTGTGGCCAATGTTTGCGAAGGGTTAACCCTCAACTCGTCGTGGACGCGGTCGTGTTACGTTGCTCGGGACTCTAGGGCACTCGGGACCCTGCGGTCGGATGAAATCGGCGACCGCGTGACGAGCGGCTCCCCGCATAAATCTCCGCGACCGCCAATTAAGGCCCGCCCCGACAGTTTGTCTACGACGCCGCCCTGATTGCTTTCACCGCGACACGAGCATCCTCTCCACATCTATGTGTGGTACAACTCTTAAATTGACGGATATACGGTGCCAATAAAACGGAGACAAATTCTCCTATAAATAACAGTCAAATCAAAAAGTGTAAAAATCGGTACATCCATGTCATGTCCACAAACAAATTAAAACAAACTCATTAATTAAAATGTCTCGAACAAATCTCACAAGGAGAAAATGACACGCATTTATCTAACTGTCGTAACTCCCTTCTTGCATTCAATTACGAATTTGACTTCTGACATTGAGTGCACCCCTGTTCCCATTTATAACTACCCCGTGCCCTTGTCAGATCGATAACCCTTTATTTGTACACCTAGCAATACACAAACGGTTATTGGTTTTTGTGACGTTTCTTTTCATATATTTCCTGCGTGTGAGAACAGGTAATACAATGCAAAGATGTATGGTCTAATTTTACCACGTGGCGGTACCAATAGGGTTGATTGGCGTTACAAATCATTTATTGTCATTGCTAATATGATGAAATCAATTAATACTTTAACTTATTGATGGTTTTGAGCTTTATGTGAGCCTAAGTTTCCACCATAAAATATTTCTATCATGCGTCTTAACGCATGGATACAAGACGTGTGTGTGTGTGAATAAGTTCAAAGTTAACTAAAAATAAGTTGAAAAGATCAGTCGTTTTTACCACTGAACCTATGACATATAATGCGGTAATATGTGTGCGATTTTATTTATAAGCGTGGTGTGAGAGTTGACGCCGGCGTCGTTAGGGGTGTGCTTCTCGTGTGTCATTTTAAGGATGTGCCAAATTGAAGGCTCCAGCGCCATCGCGAGGGGAGTCTGATTTATGCCCCGGGACCGTGGCGCCCTCACGCCTTCGATCAGAGGTTTATTCACTCGGCCGAGGTCAGTTTTCTTATACGAACGACGTAATTCTACCGCATTTATTATGAGGGCTGCGAAAATAACGCGTTAATAATCTCCTCGGGAAATGTCAAAGCTTTGATGCGTTCGCTGTGCAGTATGACGTAGGTAATAACTGAGAGTGCCTTGTAATTTGAGATCAAAGTACCTCGTTATGTCATATTAAGGATGTTTTGAATTAACATGACCTGATTCTCTGAATCATCGCTGATTAGAATTATGTATGTGAAATTACAAATAAGCGAAATTTAAACTTATAAAGTAAAATGTTTATTTATTCTAGTAATCCTTTTACCGCATGAGAGAAACATACGCTAGCAGGTGCCAAATAAATGTGATAGTCAGTAACACGCAATAAACGCAGCGTGTCTGGTGTGGCAGTAAACCTGCTTGTCTCAGGTCTGCAGCGGTTTAACGTTCCGCTTCGTTGCTGCTTATAGTTTTATGTCCCCAACACGCCGCGGGACTACGCGACAATTGTGTTAATTGGAACTGTTCGCTGTAAAAACGTGAGCATTCTTGTCAATTTCATTTATTATTGCGCCGTGCGCTCCTTTATTGGTGTGGTGTAGATTTTCTTGAGATCATGTTTCATTGTTTTTGGCGTACAAAGTTGTACAAAAACGTTGGTCTTCTCGTGTGCGTATGTCAATGGATCCCTTTAATATTAAGGTCACGATCTAGCTTAGTGGTATACTATTATGGTGAACTTGTATTCTACTAGAAATAGTCACGTAGTCCAATAGTGTGGACAAATTCTCCGTGGTAATGGTGATGATAAGTAAACATCTAGAAAAATGTAACTTGAATCCAATTTGAGGTTTAAAAAAACCTACCTGGTCAACAGCAATTGTCTCACACCTTTATTACCATTATAAAATAGTTACAATACACCTACCTTTGCTACTTCGGAAGTTATTTGGTACATAAATAAAGTGTTATACTTAGGTAATGAAATGGTCGTTCCTATCAACGGAAGCCTAGTGAAAGCAATACTTTATAGACTGAAATTGAAAGGAATTATTGAGAAGGTAAAGTACTGATATTAAAACAATGAAAATCGATACGATACTAATTAAAATGTTTTAAGGCTTGCTAGAATTAGGCTCAATGTTAAATTAATTTTGTCGTATTAAAATAAGGTCTATAGATATTGGAATTTCGTAATAAAGCAAGATTAGACGACTGCGCAACTTGTCGCGGGTTCGCTTACTGCAAGGAATAATTATAATTAAGATTATCTGGACACCACTGACAAACGGTGAAGGAAAACATCGTGATGAAACCTCGGATTATGATTTCTAATTATAAATTTGAAATCGCCAACCCGCATCGAGCAAACGTGGTGATTAATGCTCAAACCCTCTCCGTATGAGAAGAGGCTTTGCTCAGCAGAGGGCATTTATAGACTGTTTATGCGATGTGTGCAGGAATAATTATGTGCG